CAAGCGGGGGGGGGGCGGGCCGGGGGGGGGGTTGGGGGGGGGGGGGGGCGGCCCAGAATGTCTCAAATGTTACGTTCGGGCGTCTAGAACACAAAAATTTCGCGGGGGCATGCCCCAGGACCCCCTACAACAGTGTTGTCTCAATCGGCACAAATTCCGGCCCCCCCTTCCGGCCCCCCCCTTTTGGACATTTCTGGATCCGCCCCTGACTGATTGAGATTCAATCATTGTTTAACGTTCTCCATTTCCTGAGGAGTATTTCCATAGTGTTTTCCATCTATTACTCTCTCTTCAACCTGTGAACTGACATAGAGGGCGGTATTGTTCATATACAGAGTAGTGTACTGTATCTGAGAAGTGTACAACCCAAAACATTGCTTCTATAATTATGGTCATTCTTAGTTTTCATAACTGCTCTAGTAAATGATATCAGTCTTACCTCAGCCGATAATTGTAGATGAACGTAATCATCCATTTTAGCAATATCGTATGGACTATCCCTGACTGTTACATTAGCAACTGAAATTAATTCCACACGATCTTTATACTGAAGAGGAAGAGTCAAAGCAATGACAGTGAATTGAACAGCAATTACCATAGAGATTTTAACAATCAATTATCATCATTATCATCCTCATCATTATCTTTATTATTAGCACATTCATTATCACAATATTGTTATATAGAATATTGTGAGAATTTTTTTCATTATTATTTTAACATTATTTACATAATTATTATTGTCATTACCCTTAACCCTTTCACTGCGTGTACCCGGTAATACCGGGTATAAACACATATTGTTGAATTGCGCGTACGTACCCGGTACTACCGGGTATGTAGAAAAAATATTGTTAAAAATCAGGAAGAGGTTCTGCGCCCTCTATAGTTTTTTTCTATGAACTATAATTAACCTTTTATCGGAAAAAAGTGTTTTCGAGTGGTTAGGCGCAAAATGGCGGGTGCACGGCCTCAAAACAGACGGTACAATGTCGACGAAGCTACGGACCAGATGTTTGCAGATACGGATAGTGAAGATAACTTTGAATTGGATGATTCTTGCATTTCTTTTCCCCCAGTCGACTATGATAGTGACGACAGTGATTCTAAGGACGAAAACGATGATTCTCTCAACTTGGGAGGCTCTGCACAGGGTCAAGGTGGCAATGCCTTGTCCGCAGATTTCCTTTCCATATTTCACACAATAGAACAGGCTAATTTTTATAGTTCTAAAATAAAGTAACCGTATGATGTTTGCAACGATGCATTTATATTTACAACCTGGATTATATAAAGCATAAATAAAAACGTATGGCAAAAAGTACATCTAACAGTGATTTTCTGCAAAATTTTATATTTTCACAATTTTGAAGAAAAACTTTGATTATTTGCGGTTTTGGAATAAAAAGATCAAACTAACTCATTTTTTTTTTGTTTTTATTCATCTTGTGTGTCTGCATCATTATAAAGTAAAGAAAAAAACATTCCATAAAAATTTCATTGGGAAAAATTGGGTTTTTTATCAAAATTTAAGAAAAAACAGAAATTCAAAATGGCGACTTTGAGGTCACATGACTACCTAATTATGCAAAATACCAAATATCAATGTTCCTCGCGTAGGCCAACCTATTGCTCGCCCAAACACACAAAAAGAATTTCGAAATAACCTCTTTTAGTATTTTTTTTGAATTATTTTAAAAATTAACTTTTTTCGTTAAAAAAAGTCCCAGCACAGGGGGTGCATATACCTACAGCAGTGAAAGGGTTAATCTCACTACCTTTGTCATTATTCATATCATTACTACTATCATTAACAGAAACGTTGTCATTATAATTATCAACATTGTTAAAATAGGAAAGACTGCTTTGAGATACCTGTTGGAAAGTTTCAGCCCATAGACGAGACATAATGCTGATTTTTACTTTATTGGAGCCAGCAGGTAGAGCACTTATACCCTTGATCTCACGGAATATACATGTGATTCTAACACACTTCATATCATCGCAGTTAAACACCACTTCCTCTATAATCTCTTCTGCTTGTCGGCTTACACGTTCCCCTTCTCGTTCTAGATCCTTTTGGTCATCTAGCAGCTGAAGTTTTTGAGCAATAAAACGTTTGAGGGAAATTCATTAAACAGATTTAATTCAGTTTCATCGAGATGTAATGTGGAATATTGCACAATATTTTAGGCTTGAGTAATGCCCTCGAGACTCCACAGCAGTGGCCGATATCCTTTGAATTTCCCGGGCGAGGTAGAATTTAAATACGTTGTAATACAGGCCTACGGAGCACCGCTTAGACACATCCGCTCACTGCGAGGTCTCACAAACGTTTCCATGCTATTATAAATAAATAAATGTTGTTCGATTTATAAACTGTAGTGCCTGTCTCTTATACACATCTAGATGTGTATAAGAGACAGGTGTTTCCCACTCACCCAGTTTCACATAAAATAAATACTATATACAAGATAAACATATAAAATATTTAAAAAGATATCAAAATCTATTACATAGAAAACTTTATCTAAAAAAAGGGGTGGGGGAGGAACAAAAAAAAAAAAAAAAAAAAAAAAAAAAAAAAAAAAAAAAAAAA